GGGGACATAGTAAATATTTAAAGCAGATGTACAATGCATGCTCAACAGGCCACGTCAGGCCCTTTTGGAAAAACAAGGTCAGGCCGAATTAGTTTTAAATCAAATGCTTCCTCATATACCCCAAGATATCCTATTGCTTGCATAGGATAGGATTCCTTATTCATTTATCATCTTTTACTTAGGCATTGTGGTATTGTGATTTATAATATGAATTACGTATTTGGTCTTCATCCCATTCCTGGCACACAGCAAGTAAAACCCTTGGAATTTCCTGAGTGATAAAGGTGTCTTTTGTTATTCATAACAAGCCCCTTTCAACCACACCTGAGTTTATGTTAATGAGGTGACTTTTGGAAAACCCCTAGGGGTGGGACCTGGTTGCCAGGGGAACAACCTGGTAATTAGAGGGTTGGAACCTTTAGCCTCACCCGCTAGACCTCTGGGGAGGAGAGAGGGGCTGAAGTTTGAGTTCAGTTACCAATGGCCAATAATTTAGTCAATTATATGTATGTAGTGAAGCCTCCTTAAAAACCCAAAAGGATAGGGTTCAGAGAGCTTCTGGAAAAAAAGGTTAGTATAGTTCTTAATCTTTTCCATGAAGGTGTTATTTCAGGGGCCAAAAATAACAAATAATGTAACATGAGCTCAGAGGAGAAATGGTGATCCTTGCAGGTTGGCATGTTAGGAAAGGCTAGGGCTTAAGCTGGATCTTGATGGGTCAGATGTATAGGAGGAGGAACACTTTCCTGGTCAGGGGGGCAGCACGTGGGGTGTCATCAAGTTGTGAGAAGCAAGATTCTGATGGTCAGTGTTTGAAATGCAGAATTATTCTTGGAGAGAATAGTGGCAGATGGATTATAATGATAGGTTGGGCGTTAGTGGAGACCTTTGAAAAACTGTATGGCCTTTGGGCTTTATCTTATGGAACAGAGTTTCTTAACTTGTTTTGAGGAAGAGCTGTTTTTATTTACATCAAAGTCTTAAGAGTAATGATCGTTTTGGTGGTGAAGGCAGTGCCCTTGAGCTACAAGCGGAATGACTTCCAGAAGAGATGGTCATGTGGCTAGAGCCTCCTGGCCTGCAACAAGTGTTTCACGGAAGTAGGTGTCTGTGATAGTTGTTAGATTCTGTAGTCCCTCCCGTGCAGTTACAGATAGAGAAGATAGATATGATAGTGGTGGTGGCATTTTTTCCTTCTTTTTTCAATTAACTAAGTAGATTGAATATTCATTTTATGACTTGTGTTAATTGACCTATAATTCTTATGATAGACAATATAGAGCCATTGAAGATTTTTGAGCAGGACATAAAATGATTAAAATTATTATTATTTTTTTGTTATTGAATTGGAGCATGGAAAGATGAGGTTCAGAACTCAATTAGTAGACTGTTGCGTTAGGCAGAGTATAAGATAGGGTTCAGATGGTGGCATTGATATAGAAAGGAAAGAATGTGAAGAACCAAAACATTTGTTGACTGATCTCTTCTAGAGTCAAGGGAGAAGAATGGATTAAGATAGTTGGGTTTTGTGCTGAGTTGACTATGCTGAAAGCACTCTTAATAGGCTCAGAGCCAAGATTTAGAGAGAAAAATAGGGGAGTGCAACTAACTCACCACTGCTTGATGTCTTTGAGTTAAGATGTTTAAACCTGGCAAGAGAGGTAATGAAGTGTGGAAAATCAGGAAGGACATACAATGGAAATGCTTTGATGTCAGTGTTAGACCCATGTATAAAGAACATTGCTACATTAGATGAGGCTTGTATATTATATCTTGGGAAGGGGCATGGTTTAACCCCATGCTATAGCTGAGTTACTTTAGTTAAAATTACTGTTACCTCAGTTACAAAGCAAACATTTCTAAAGCACAGTGGTTCTCAAAGTGTGGTCTATGAACTCTTGATGGTCCAGGAGGTCAAAACTGTTTTCATAATAATGCTACATTTACACTAATAATACCAAAACAGTGGTGAGTAAAACAACTGTAGCCCTAGTATATATCAAGGCAGTAGTAGTCATTGTCTTCTTCATGGCCATGTACTTGGAGTTAAAAGAAAGAGTTTCATGTAAGAATGTCCTTGATGAAACAGTAAAAGTTATTAATTTTGTTAAATCCCAACCCTTGAGTTCACATCTTTTTAATATTCTATGTGGAAAATAGGAGGTGGACGTAAAGCACTTTTGCTACAAACCTAAGTATGAAGGTTATCTTAAGGAAAACCACTCATGTAATTGAATTACAACTGAATTATCTACTGTTTTTTATGGAACATCATGAACTGACAAACTGTAATTATTTAGATTTGGCTATTTGGCAGACATTTTCTCAAAAATGAATGAAGTGAACCTGTCACTTCCAGGAAAACAACTGACAGTACTTGTTGCCAATGATAAAATTTGAGCCTTCAAGTGAAAATTAGAATTTTGAAAAATTTGTATCCACCGTCATGAGCTTACAGCTTCCCAACACTTAAAGACTCTTCTGATGAAATTGGTGGTCATATTACTGAATGGATTTTTTTTCATACTGTAAAATCAGTAAACCAGTGTTTTCCAGATGACCAATGCACAATGCTACAAAACCATGTATCAGTAAAAGAGCCATTCTAAGTGCAAGATAGACCAATGGATTTTAACATAACAGTACAGAAAGTTTAATATGGTTTCAGATTCCACATTGTAACTAACCTTTAAGAAACTTTCCCTTGTCAAATTTTTATGTAGTATCAAAGAATAATATTCATAATTGTCTGAAATGGCTGTTAAAATACTCCTTTTTCGGTGCTGGCCCGGTGGCGTAGTGGTTAAGTTTGCGGGCTCTGCTTCAGTGGCCTGAGGTTCGAAGGTTCCGATCCCAGGCACAGACCTGTGCACTGCTTATCAACCCATGCTGTGGCGGCGTCCCATATAAAGTATAGGAAGATGGGCACAGATGTTAGCCCAGGGTTCAGTCTTCCTCAGCAAAAAGAGGAGGATTGGCAACAGATGTTAACTCAGGGCTAATCTTCACCAGAAAAAAAAAAAAAAAAGTCTTTTTTCAACTGCATATCTGTGTGAGGCCGGATACGTTTCATATACTTCAATGAAAACAGACTATTGCAGCAGATTGAAAGCAGAAGCAGACTTGAGAATCCAGCTGTCTTCTATTAAGCCAGATAATAAAGAGATTTGTAAAAACCTAAAACAGTGCTGTGCTTTTCAACTAGATTTTGTTCTTGTTTTGGAAAATATGTTTTAATTTTCTAATACAGTTAATATCAGTAGATAAATCCCACATAAACAAAAGCTCTTTGAGGTCCTCATTAATTTTTAAGAGTGTAACAGGGTCTGAGACCAAAAAATTTGAGAACCTCTGCTGTAGCATTTGCCACTGGTACATGAACATTTGTTCAAAGATTAGTCATCCACTCTTCTCTTTGGATCAGGATTACTGGAAGCAACCAGGATGCTTAGATGAAAGATTGACCATCATTGCTGGTTAGGAAATGTATTGTGAAAACTCCAACCGAGAGACGGTAAAATGCAGCCGGAGGAGACATTCTGATATTAGCTTTGAGGCCTTCAAACTTGCTTTACATTCCAAGCCCCAGTAAGAGTCAGGAGTAGCAGGGAGTAGATAGAAATGTGCGTTTGTTCACCTCAGACTTTTTAGTTCATCTGTTACTTTGAATGTAGAACACTATGGGCCATCTGTGTATTCACTTCTGGGCACAAACATTTTTCCTAGGTGAAATTACATGAGATACTCATGCACAGGAGTCTCTTTGTTGTAAAATACTAATTAATAGATGTACATTTGGGTGCTTAACTCTGTATAAAATATCTCATTGTTCAATCTCAAATACAAATTAAAATATTTTTTTCATATGTTTGTTATCCAGTTTTGTTTTCTCTTTTGTAAATTGTCTGTTTATTTTTTTGTCTCTTTTGAGGCCTTATTGTTCTTGACATTTCATATGTACTCTTAATGAATTAAAATCTTCTCTGTATATTAAAGATTAACCTATCCTGTGTCATGTTGATTGAAAAATGTTCCTTCTACTTTGTTGTTTTGTCTTTAATTTTATGGACTTAAAAAAATTAATATTGCTTCTCTCCTCCCCCCACTGCCTTCACATTATAAATTTTTTGTGGACATTTTGGATGACTATATAATATTTTATTATGAGGAGGTCCGTAATGTGTTTAACCGTTCCCCTATTTTGGCCATTTCGGTTTTTACTGTTTTAAACAATGCTGCACTAAATATATGCATGAGTGGAGTTTTTTTGTCTCTATTTAGAATATTTTCTTAGAATAGCTTCCTGGAGGAAGAATTCAGAGTACAGGTACATTTTTAATGCATGGATGAATAGTTTATTTCAGATAGAAAACTCTAGACAATATCAGTTGTTAGCTATGATATTTCTAAAAGGAGCCATTTGATTGTTTGGAGGGCTCTGGTATATAGTCCCAGCACTGGGCTTTGGGACCACACAGCAAAGCCAGTGATTCCTCAAATACCCTCCATGGGCTTTGTTGGGGTCAGCAAACTTTTCCCCTAAAGGGCCAGATAGTAAATATTTTAGGCTTTGCAGGCCATATAGTGTCTGTACAGCTACTCAGCTGTGAACCCAGCTACTCCGTTGTATTGCAAGAGCAGCCAGAAACTATGTCAATGGATGGGTGTGTCTGTGTTCCAATGAAACTTTATTTATGGACACTGTAATTTGAATTTCATGTAATTTTCATATGTCACAAAATATTCTTTTGATTTTTTCCAACTATTTAAAACTAAAATCCATTCTTAAACCTGCAAGTTGTATAAAACAGGCAATGGGCTGGATCTGGCCTGTGGGCCATAGTTTGCCAACCCTGGGGCTGCATTTATAGGTGATTTGGTAATAGACATTTATTATTTAGGAACCTCTGAATCTACTGCAATTGATATGGTGAATTTATTAAGAAAACCCTTAATTTCAGCATGTATCTCATAACTACCTTTCATATTTTGTATTTCAGCTGGAGTTAACCGAATTTCATATTGGCCTGCTGATCCAGAAATAAGTTTGCTTACTGAGGCTTCTAGTTCTGAAGATGCAAAGTTAGATGCTAAAGCAGTGGAAAGATTGAAGTCAAACAGTCGGGCCCATGTGTGTGTGTTACTTCAGCCTTTGGTGTGTTATATGGTGCAGTTTGTAGAGGAGACTTCTTACAAATGTGACTTTATTCAAAAAATTACAAAAACATTGCCGGATGCTAACGTTGACTTTTATTCTGAATGTAAACAAGAAAGAATAAAAGAATATGAAATGTTATTTTTGGTTTCAAATGAAGAAATGCATAAGCAAATACTGATGACGATAGGTTTGGAGAACCTATGTGAAAATCCATACTTTAGCAATCTAAGGCAAAACATGAAAGACCTTGTCCTACTTTTGGCCACAGTAGCTTCCAGTGTGCCCAACTTTAAACACTACGGATTTTATTGTGGCAGTACTGAACAGATTAATGACATTCACAATCAAAGTTTGCCACAAGACATTGCAAGGCACTGCATGGTTCAGGCCAGGTTATTGGCATATCGAACTGGTGAGTTACATGCTTAGTTCATAAGCGGGGGCTGATTGCTTGGGTTGTATTTGTCTCAGAAGTAAAGTGGTCTTCGTCCGATCTGCGGTAGAGCTCACTTACTGTTAGACACAAGTTTTACTGGTCATAAAGTATAGAGAAGTTAGTGAGGCTCTTGAGTAACAACTCTTAGAGCAGTTTTAGGATTCCTTGTGGCTGTATATTTAGTGCCACATTCATAAATCAGGGCCTGATTATCTAGGCCCTTCTTTCTGCTTCTTGCTTTTATCATTTCACTGTTCATTAAGCTTTCTGCTAGAGATGGGACAAAAAGAAAAAGGAGAGAGACCCAAAATCATTCGTTTTTGTTAACTCTTCAATATGTTGTATGTATTCAATATTTAACAAAAACTTTAAAAACATGAATTCAAAATAACTAACAGAATCAAAGTAAAGGAATATTGGCAGATTCTTCCAATTGCTGGTATGTCTTCAATCAGCAAGTTGAGAAATCAAACATTTTTACTTTATTAAGTTGTGCATGAGTATGTATGTGAAAAAGAAAAATATTACCTGGGAGTTTTGTTTATTGTGATAAAAGATGGCATCTGTATTTCCAATTATAGAGTGTTTTTACATCTTGTGAGACGTAAGATATTTCAAAGTAGAATCATGATCACTTTTTTTTTTTTAAATGCAGCTTTGAAATAGGAAAATAAAGCAAGAGGAGCAATAGAGTAAGATTTGGTGAGTGGACTATAGTAGGATTTTTTTAAACTTATGCCAAGAAATAAGGAGAAGAGAGAAAATCTTCAGAAAAGGTCCACACAAATGTCCCTGGTCTGCAGTATATTCTAAACAGTGACCACAGGTCAAAGTAATTTTGGAAGAATGGAAGTTCTCAACTGGCAGCATATCAGAAACACCACTGAAACTTTTATTAAAAGTTCAAATGCTCAAATTCCAACCCAGTCCTGATAAACCAAGTCCCTAAGGGTGTGGCCTAGACTTATGAGTTTTTAAAGTTATGCAAGCTGGGCCGGCCCCGTGGCTTGGTGGTTAAGTGAGCGCGCTCCACTGCTGGCGACCCGGGTTCGGATCCCGGGCTCGCACTGACGCGCTGCTTCTCCGGCCATGCTGAGGCCGCGTCCCACATGCAGCAACTAGAAGGATGTGCAGCTATGACACACAACTATCTACTGGGGCTTTGGGGGGAAAAATAAAAAAAAAAAAAAAAAAAAAAAAAAAAAAAAAATAAAGTTATGCAAGGGATTCTGACATTCAGCAGGTTAATAATCACTCAATTCTTGTTAAAGAATTTGATTCTATTACTGGCGCAAGCTATATGATGCCAAACAACTGTATTGTGTAAAAGTCTGATTTAACGTAATTATCTTGTGTCATGGGCTATCCATTAGCCTCTTTACCAAAACCAGCGTTGTAAAGAACTTTTGTCTAAACCATTCTGGAAGGACAGAAACATAAATGGGAACAGCTGTTACAGCTGTAATTCACTAATTCCCCTATGCTCATTAGGTTTCAGCGGATTCCAGAGTGAGCTGAAGCTGAGAGATGTGAATCTGCTGTTCTTTTACTTGATCTCTGTACCTCTGGCTTCTCATAGGAGAACCCTCATCATACCATGTATGATTCCAGTGTTGAAAGATGCAGTAATGTATAGATATAAATTTGCATATATATTCTTTATTAGATACTCTAATTATAAATTTATCCACTATTTCTGTGCAGAGTTTTGCATATAAAGCCGTGCTTCTGCACTTGATGGGCAATTGAAAAGATTTTTCAAGGTTAATTTTTTGACTGTTTGTGACTTTTTTGTCTGGAACCCAAACCCTGAATACGATGCAACTCTGTCATGCATCCACTGCACTGTGAGCTCTTCCAGGGAAGAGACCAGGCCTTCATCGTCATTTTTTCCTTAGCACTAAGTAGTGTGTTGAGTGGATAAAGGGAATCTTTTTATATCCAAAGATAAATGATCCACAATCCATTACCCAAACTGTTGGAGCCAGATGAAAAGGAATTCAGAATTTTTCAGATTTTAGAAAGGTAATATGGTGCATATACTGTATGTTACGCAGCACTCCTGGGGGTCTGGAGCAGTACCTTGTAATCAAATAAATTTATACATATGGAGTAAAATGTATGAATATTTGCACTAAACATTTGATGAGATGTGGCCACAAAATAAGCGCATCAAGCTGTCAAAAAAACTTGATATAAAGGGTTTCAGATAAGGAATTCTGGACCTGTATTCTTCATTGATGATAAATAATAAAAATAACAATTTATTGAGCACCTACTCTGTGTCAGGCACAGAGCTAGGCGATTTATATACGTATCTCATGTAAGATTGAGGCCAATCCAGCAAGGTAGATATCCCCATGATGGAGTGGGCTTCTACTAACTCAGACTTTTAATTTCACACTATTCAGTTTGCTTTGATGACATTATTTCACTCTAATTTATAGGTGAAGAAAATCATTCCATTAAACTATTTCATTTGAAAATGTACATATGATTAAAATGAACTCCAAAAGCTCTAACAATAGAGTTCTAAAAGTAATTGAAAGTGCTTGGTAATTGCTTTCTGAATGATGAATAAAGAGGCTCCACAGAGATGTCATTAAAAGTATGTTTCTAGGATACTTTGAGGTAGCAAAAAGTAACAAAATTTATTTAGACTCTAGGGGGAAAAAAGAGTTAGGAGGACATTACACCTTATCTACCTGGTTTAAATGTAATTTTTTATCTCTTCTTGGGTCCTGTTTTCTCATTAGACCTATACATTTTCTAAAGCTGAGGATTATGCCTTCCTCCTGAACCACAGTGTTGATGATGAAAGTAGGTTGGAGTAGCCAAGAAAGTTAACTGTTTCAAATCGTAACTTGGTAGTTCTCAACTTTCAGTATGCCTGCGAATCAGAGGGGCTGCTCTTGAGAAAGGCAGACTCCTGAGCCCTGCCAGCCTCCTTGGAGAGGCTGATTCAGGGGATTTCCATGGGAGCCAGGAGTCTGCCTTTTTAACAAGCACCAAGTGATTCTGATGCAAGTGGTCTGTGGACCACACCTGGACAAACCCTGACATGACTACAGAATTGAAAGCCAAAATAACCATGCCTGTGTTCCAGAACCATAGGATAAAGAGTTCTCTGACTTTTAGTGATCAAAGAGTCTCAGGAATTTGGCTCAGTGATTGTAAGTTGACCTTTCCTTCAAGGGTACACAAAGAAAACTCTGTGATTGACAAGATCATGGGGAGCAGTTTCTGTACAAATTACAGACATGAAAAGATTTTTGAGATATTACCTCATCTGTCATCCAACCTTGGAGCTGTGTAAAATCTACTCCATCTAACATGGATGGAATTTTATTCTGATTTTAAATGACACATAGAAAAGAATATTCTCTTGGTGTACCTCACCTTAGCTAGGCAGCAGAGGTGCATGCTGATGGAAAATCACAGTTTTTTCCTTCCTGACAAAGTTTAGTCTGTCCCCAGGCTGAAACAGAAAAAGTGGCTGCTTGGACTAAAAAAATATAACATGAAAAATACTTAGGGTCGATGGTAGGAAAAGTACACTCTTAATATGAACAACTTCTATTTCAGTTTTTTATTTTTTGTTTCAGACTTATGCAGGTATTAAGTACAATTTTAAACATTTTGTTTTGCAGGCAAATATAATCATATGCTTATAACTTCTGCCAGTTGCCTTAGAAATGAGCATAAAGCCGTAATTATATTCTTTCCTTCTCATGTTATATTCTGAAGATCTTGGAAGGAACAAAATTTTGTTTACATCAATATCCCTTTCCTGTCAATCTCCACTCTGTAGAATAAGCCCTCATGAACACTCCATTCCTCAGCTTTGTGTTCATTTCCTTCATAGCACAGCACAGCACAGGCTTACTGATGTGTTTCATTATTCCTGTCTTCCTCTCACGTCAGACTACAAGTTTCATGAATATAGGGCCTTCTGTTTACCACACCCCTCTATACTCAAACATTCAGTAAAGGGAAATCTTTGTTACAAAATTCTTAACGTTAAAGGGAGGGGTAGGGGCTGGCCCAGTGGCGTAGTGGTTAAGTTAACGTGCTCCATTTCCGCTGCCCAGGTTTCCGGTTTTGGATCCCAGGTGGGGACCTACACCACTAATCAAGCAATGTTGTGGTGGAGACCCACATACAAAATAGAGGAAGATTGGTACAGATGTTAGTTCAGGGCCAGTCTTCCTCAAGCAAAAAAAAAAAAGGGAGAAGATTGGCAACAGGTTAGTTAGCTCAAGGCCAATCTTCCTCACTGAAAAAAAAAAAAGGAAGGGTAGAGGAAAGGCAAGTAGGTTGGGTCTGAAGGGCTAAATTTTGGTCACTTAATTTCTTTGCCTGTTTTCTCATCTAGAAAAGGAAATTTTATCTGCTTTACCTTTAGGATAAAAATGAAATAGTGGGTAGAATTACTTAAATTATACAAATGCTTTGTGATACAATTTTGAAAACCTAAGCTTACTTGAACTGAAGATGGAGAATTTCATTATAGTATCATAACTTTTTTTTTTTTTTTGGTGAGGAAGATTAGCCCTGAGCTAACATCCGATGCCAATCCTCCTCTTTTTGCTGAGGAAGATTGGCCCAGGGCTAACATCCATGCCCATCTTCCTCTACTCTATATGGGATGCTGCCATAGCATGGCTTGACAAGCAGTGCATTGGTGCGCGCCTGGGATCCGCCAGGGATCCGAACCTGCGAACCCTGGACGACCGAAGCAGAGTGCGCGCACTTTTGCACTTAACCACTATGCCACCAGGCAGGCCCTGATAACTTGTAAAAATTAACTTATTTATAAAGCATCCTAATTTTTACTGCATAGGTGGAATAAAGTTTATTTGTACTTTTACTAGAAAAATAGGTACTTAAATATGTTATCATTGGAAGGATTAATTTTTAGTAAATTGTAAAGTGAAGCCACAGGTGAACTTAATTCTCACCAATATGAGAAAGCCCTGGAGTCAGTTCACAGATGGTTGTTACTTTCTCTGTGTAAATGTACCTACTTAATTATTTTAGTCCCTTATTAAAATTTTGATAAATACTATGGTTTTCATAATTAGTGTATAATTGTCTTAGAAATTTGAAACTCACCCTTAGTATTAGTAGAAAGAAAAAGTCAGTGCTTAATATGTAGAATTTCATTTTGGTTTTTTATTTTCTGTTTCTGATTAGTGGTTTCAAGAAGTACAGCTTTACTTGTTGCAGAGGTTTTGGTTTTGCAGGGAAATTATAATCTTATGTTTATAATTTCTGCCACTCGATTCAAAAATGAGCATCGTGTCACTAACTTGGCATTCTTTTTCCCCTCAGGATAAACTGTGAGGGTCAGGGAAAGGACAACATTTTGTTTAAATCAAAATCCCTTTCATGCGCTTTCCAGCAGTATATATATATGCAAGCCCATAAAGATTTGTCTATGTTTGTATTATAAGTTTGAACATTTTTTTTTAGCGAGAATATTTCCATAAAATGTATTTTCCATGATTAGAGTGTAAAAAATGCTAGGAGAAGACAGATTTGATTATTGTGAACGGTTATACACTAAACTCATTAGTTCAGAAACTTTTCTTTTTTTTTAATTGAAGTAACATTGGTTTATAACATTACGTAAATTTCAGGTGTACATCATTATATTTCCATTTCTGTGTAGTCTACATCGTGTTCACTACCCAAAGACTAATTTCCAGCCGATACCATACACATGTGCCCAGTCACCCCTTACCCTTGATTATACTTCTTTCTTAATCAATTTCATCGTCTATTAGAAATAGTCATTTAGAAACTGTCTTGTTGGTGGAGAATCAATAAATTACATTCAGTTCTGGTTACAGCTTTGAAGTGACCTGACTGTAGGCACTGCCATTTTAATGATCTCCACATATACGTAGATTGTGTGTGCCTGGGTTGGTAGTAACACTGTCTAGTTATTTAGTACCTAGCGCCCATATTCCATGCTTAAAAGTATTTATTTTGACACTTTTCTGTAATTAGTGAAGATGTCAAGGATTGCTGCTACATTTGTGAAGTATGTTCCAATAAATATGTTTTTGTTATTTTTGGAAAAACGTATTTCTGAAACTAACAGATTATTGATTTTTACTGAGTTCCATGCCATGTATCTTTCAGAGGATCATAAAACAGGAGTTGGAGCAGTCATTTGGGCAGAAGGGAAATCTGTAAGTATGAAAATAATTCTTTAAACATTTAACCTTGATTTTGTTTAAATATAGTTCAATCTTAAATGTGTTACATTTTATCGATCCCTTGGGATTAATATTTTTGTTGGTGCATTTATTAAATTTTATAGACATCTGCTCATTCCTTCAACAATTTTCTAGATAGAGTCCTTCATTTAGCAAGCATTTGTTAAACACCTTCTACAGAGTAGGCACTGTGTCACAGTGAACAATAGGGAGTTAAAAACCACATTTTCTGCCCTTCATGGCCTTCTGCAGTCTAGTCGTGGAGACAGAGAAGTGAAAAAGAGACTGGTATATAAGTCTCATAATACAATACCATGAAAGCTTTAGTGAAGCAATAGATGAGGAACCTTTGCTCTGCTTGGAGAAATGAATAAAATGTTCTTGGAGGAGGTAGGATGCCCTTAGTCTTGAAGAATGAGTAGGAATTCACCAGGCAGAGCAAGTTCATAGGACTAGGAGGATAACATGCAAACGTAGGGGGTGAGAATGTGGGAAAATGCAAATGATTTGGCATGTTGGAGTCCTGAGTCCTGTGTAAAGTAGTGGCAAAAAATTGGACTGGACCATGAAGAACTTTCTATGCCATGTAGAGAGTTTGGACTTATCCTTTAGACAGTGGGATACCCCAGAACAGTGATAACCAGTAGAAATAAAAGGCAAGCCACATACATAATTTTAAATTCTCTAGGAGCTACATTAAAAAAAATTAAAGTGAATTAATTTTAAGAATATATTTTATTTAATCTAATATGTCCAGAAATATCATTTCAACATGTAATCAATATAAAAGGTTATTAACAAAATATTCTGCATTTTGGAGGAGTGTTAAGTCTTCAAAATCTTGTGTGTATTTTACACTTATAGCACCTCTCAATTTGGACTAACCACGTGTGGCTAGTGGCTACTGTATTGGACAGTGCAATCCAAGAACATTTTAAGTGGGAAAATGATTTGATCCAATTTAGATTATAAAAAAAATGAAGTGGGGCTCGACAGGAAATAGGGAGATTAATAAAAAAGAGATGATGAGGGCTTAGAGTTATGGGAGTGGGTCAGGAGAGGATGGAATCAAGAGATACTTGGTAACTATGTGGCTGACTGAAAGATAGTAGGGAGCCTAAGTTTTGCTTGAATAGACTTTACAGCAAGCAATTTGATTCTTGGCCTGGATGTTTCATAAGCCCCTCAAGTTCAAGCTAGCCAATAGATCCAGTATCCTCCCTGCTGACCTATTCTTTCCTCAGTGGTCACCATCCCATTCCCTGTTACTCCACACATACAATCAATCATCAAGTGCTATGAATTCCACCCTCAAAATCACTTTTGACTCTACTTATCTCTACCGCAACTGTTAATACCTACTAGACTAGATTCCTCTGCCCCAAACTCCCACAGTGTGCTGTACAACTCATTTGTGACACTCATCACAGTTAAAATTGTGTCCAGTTTCTTATCATCTCCAGCTTGGAAGGTTCGTGAGGGCAGGGATTCTCTGTCTTGTTTACAGCCGTATTCCCAGCACCAGCACTGTGCCTGGCCTATGGTCGGAACCCTCATTTGTGTTTATATGAATGCTCAGCAGCTTTTGGCTTAACATGTGGTTTCAGCCACTTTGTGAAGAATTTCAGGTTCCAGTTATCTATAGTGTAGGCAGCATGGTAAAGGGGAAAGGCATGGGTTTGGAGTCAAGCAACCTGGGCTTGAATTCAGGCTATTACTTACTAGCTTTGTGACCCTGGACAAGTTATTTAAAATAATAATAGTACTACTCTCTAGGTTGTTGTGAGGATTGATTAAATGAAATAATACATATACGACTCAGCATAGGGCCGGCCCCGTGGCTTAGCAGTTAAGTGCACGCGCTCCGCTGCTGGCAGCCCGGGTTCGGATCCCGGGCGCGCACCGCTTCTCCGGCCATGCTGGGGCCGCGTCCCACATACAGCAACTGGAAGGATGTGCAGCTATGACATACAACTATCTACTGGGGCTTTGGGGGGAAAAATAAATAAATAAAATCTTTAAAAAAAAAAAGACTCAGCATAATGTTTGACATTTAGTAAATGCTCAAGAATAATTTATTACTAATGAGAGAATTTTTTTTTTTTTTTTTGGTGAGGAAGATCAGCCCTGAGCTAACATCCATGCTAATCCTCCTCTTTTTGCTGAGGAAGACTGGCCCTGAGCTAACATCTATTGCCAATCCTCCTCCTTTTTTTTCCCCCAAAGCCCCAGTAGATAGTTGTATGTCATAGTTGCACATCCTTCTAGTTGCTGTATGTGGAACGCAGCCTCAGCATGGCCGGAGAAGCGGTGCGTCGGTGTGCGCCCAGGATCCAAACCTGGGCGGCCAGTAGCAGAGCACGCGCACTTAACCGCTAAGCCACGGGGCCGGCCCGACAGAATATTTTATTTGTAAGCTTTTGTTGGCTCACCATAACAATTTTTATCAAGCTGCTACAGTAACGAGTCTGTTGAAAACTGTCACATGAGTAATTGTAATAGATTGAAATTTAGTGAGATTTATAGCATATTCCAAACTATTATAAACACTTATGATTTATAAAATATTTCATTCTAATAATTGATAAAGCATTCATATTAACACTTAATACGCATTGACCAGGAGAAATAAAAAGGAGTCACTGAAGTAAGAAGTTCTGTGATAATATATACATACAATCAAGGTTCAATAAATATTGAAGATTAAAGGAAAGTACATTTTTAATTTCCCAGCTATATCTCAATAGCACGTTTTTAGCCCACGGACAGCAATTGTCTGTTCAAAATATTTTTAAAACTTCTGGCTTGCTAACCAGTTGCACAGCACAGAGCGTATAAGAAATTAACAATCATTTACTGAGTACCTGCTTTGTATGGAACACTCTAGTAAGTGTACTTTAAGGGATAGAAAAGAAGTATAAAATATGGTTTCTTTTTTCCAGGATCTTATAACCTATTTGGGGAACGATGTCTGAATCAAGTGAAACATTTTGTGAATTAAACAAGCTGGTATTTAATTAACTGCTAAAACCAAGGACTGCCATGAGATAATGTATTAGAGATGGTCAGCCTTGAAATTTACTTCTGACAAGACCACATTGCAGTAGGAAGATCTAATATTGTCTTGTTTTGATGGCTCAGTTTGTCATAGAAAATTGAATTCCTTATGCAAAGTATGATGCTAGGCTTTAAAAATCCCTGGCAAGGTGCCTCTTCAGAATGTTGAAAACTAAGCTTCATTGGTTTGCTCACTTTTGTAGCGAAACTGTGATGGAACAGGTGCCATGTACTTCGTAGGATGCGGTTATAATGCGTTTCCTGCTGGATCTGAGTATGCTGACTTCCCACACATGGACGACAAACAGAAAGACAGAGAAATAAGGAAATTCAGATACATCGTACATGCTGAACAGAATGCCTTGACATTTAGGTATGAAATTCATTTGCTTGTATTGTCTTTAAAATGTAGCAAGGGTTAGTTGAAATTAGTTTGCTTTTAGTTGTAATTTATTTCCTTTTTTAAAATTCCAAGAAATATTCTTTTCAGAAGTATAACTTGGTGAAGCTTGGTCCTTGCAGCCTGAACTGAGGCCGTTGTCAGAGATCCTCTAGGCCTTCAGATTTATTGAGCAAGTCTTTTTTTTCCTTCCTTCCTTCTCTCTCCAATATAAAACTGCTTGAAGTTTGTCCCTAGGGTCTTGTGTATTTCTGGATTGTAAGATCTCCTTTGTTTTCTAAATCTAGAGCACACATATTTATGAATATATAGATTTTATTATGAAACAAATTGCTTTAACATGGTTTTTGTTAGAGATTATAACTGGCATTACTTCCTTCTAATTGTAATTTAGATCATTTCCACAAACATTTCTCTGCATATGCCATTAAGGGAGTGATCGTGGAGGACTGGAAGCTGAAAAAGACGTGGCTCCTGTCCTTGAGGAGCTCATAATGCAGTTGAGGATATAAGACTGCGTTCAGTCTAATGTGATCGGTTGTGTGGGAAAGGCCGACACAAAGTGCTGTGGAAATTCGGGGGCTGCTGTGGATGAAGGGGGAGTGGGAGGGAAAAGCTTTCTGGAGGAAGTGGCATTTGAGGTGAGCTTTAAAGGTTTGGTAGGACTGGGGCTTACCTGGAGATGCTTGCTTGAGGGGAAGCCATCTTGCTTCAGACATAGCAGTGGTCTGAAGTAGGAACATGCATTGTGTGTTTGGGCACATGAGTGTTCCAGTTAGGCTGGACCGTGGAGCCTGTGGGAATAGGTTGGGACTGGACAAGGGAGGACTTTGAGTTTAGACTTCATTTAGTAGGCAGTGGGGAAGGGGAGTGGCATTGACAGAGCCACACTACGGATCACTTTTGCAAGTATACTGTATGAACAGACTAGATGCATAAAATTCTGTTGCCTTAGTCCAGGCAAACAGAACGAGGAAGATGGATATGGAAGGCTGGCGGCTATATGACAGCTGGCTGAGAGCCATGTAAACCATGGAAGCAGGAAGTACAATCCCTGTAGCCTTAGGTGAGAGTGTTCCTTAGTCCTAATCCACCGCCAGCAAATAACTCTTGTGTTCTTTTCCTTGTGCTCTTCATTATAGATTTACTTGCTTTATTCTGTATGGAGTTATGAATCTGTCAAATCCAAACGTTTGTTAAATAAAATTATCCTGTCTTAGGGAGGAGGTAATGGAACTATAACTCAAAACAGAACTTTAATATTAGTTTATCAATTTAGTAAGCACTTATTAAATATCCATTGGGTACCAGATAAGGGGTAAATCTTTTGGCTACCCAAATCTCTGGCTAACTCATTAACATTAACATGAGTTAATGTCTAGTCACACATGGTAAATTCTTAAGGGGGGTGTTAGTTCCAGCCCCTAATTCTGTCATTATAAAGAGGTTCTTACCTACTTAGAAACCATTGTTCTCTTGTCTCTCTCCCTCCATCTTTTTTTCGGTGTCTGTCTCTTTCTGTATTCATTTGCTTTTTACTCTAATACTGAACATCTTGCCAAATTGCTCAGAATAAATAAATGAATTTTAGTTATGGTAATTGTCATGTTCAGGTTGTATTTTAATGTTTTATGAGTTTATATATTTTGAACATTCACTAATTCAGCAAGAATAAGGTTTGATTATTATTGTTTATAATATTGTAAATCTATTTTTAAAGCAGCTCAGTTTTAGGTGTTTAAAGATTTCTCCAAAATGTAACGTATCCTTTCAGAAACTATTTTCCTAATATTTTATAAATTTATTTTAGGTGTCAAGAAATAAAACCAGAAGAAAGAAGTATGATTTTTGTGACAAAGTGCCCATGTGATGAATGTGTACCTTTAATTAAAGGTGCAGGCATAAAACAAATCTATGCAGGGGATGTAGACGTTGGAAAAAAGAAGGCAGACATCTCTTACATGAGATTTGGGGAACTCGAGGGTGTTAGCAAATTTACAGTAAGTAGATACACATTTTTTCAAGTATAGTGTATATTTTGTTGTTAGGTACCCTGCTGCATATTTTAAATTAGATTCCCACCCTTTTATAGAGTTTCAACAAACTATTATCATTGAATTTATTTTTATCTGCAAGCATTTACCTAATTACAAATGTTCAGCTTAGGATCCCTGCCTTATGAATGTAGACCTCTATAGAGAGAGTTGTGCATTGACCGTACAGATCCTGAATTAGTGGGCCCTTTGGTGCCATCTGGTGGCTAATAAGAGAAAATCCCTGACCCACCTCTTCCTCACCCTTCCTTCTGGCTTAGAGTGATCAATAGAGGTGAAAATAGTTTAAGATTACCCAAAAGACAGAAAGACACACACACATATATACACATGCACACACGTGCGCACCACAAATTTTTTATGAGAAAAATCAGAAAAAAATAGAAGGGATTTAATATTTGATATTTCAAAAAAAGAAAACCCAGAACTTTAACTCTTTATACTTTTTTACTATTTAGGTTTTTAAAAAACTTTTTAGAAGCAATCTCAAAGTTACAAAAATGCTACAAAGAACTTTTCTTTTCCAGAAACATTTGAGAGTAAGTTATTGACATGATACCAGATCTCTCTGGTATAATAAATACTTTATTGTATATTTCCTCAAACAGTATATTCTCCTACATAACCATAATACAACCAAAAAATTTAGGAAATTATCATTGATACATTACTGCCATTAATCCACAGATTACAATCAAGGTTCACCAACTGTCCCAATAATGTTCTGTATAGCAAAAGGATCCTGTCCAGAATCATATATTGCTTTTTAATGATAATCTCGGCATTTAATGTAGCATTTATATACTAGAATTTGTAGTGGGTACAAAAGGCATATAATAGAACTGTTTATAAATTTCAACTTTACATTCCTGTTTCAGTCTGGGTGCCTGGAACCTATCAGACACCTAATAGATATTTATGCAAATATATAAATATATTTAAAATCTTAAAAATATAACATACTATCTAGTTTATATGTGTGTATGAAGTGTCATCAATTTTTACCTTTTTTATTTTTGTCATGTAATTTTGGTTTTTTATTTCCAGTTGTTTTATTTAAAGCATATCACAGTTTTAAAAGGGGGGCACTGAAAGAAGGGAGAGATGGGAAAGATGCCTCTTCTGTAAAACGAAACAAAAGCTTACATCCAGCTAGGCAAAGAGAAATCTCCAGCTTTTTTGTTTTCTGTCTCTTCATTCCTCCTAAAGAATAAGAAGAGAGAGATTTTTCAAATTCTCTTCATAAAGACGAAGTGACCTAGCTCTTCAGGACTGTGAGTGACGGGTTAAGTAAATTCTGAAGTATCTTGCTTACTGGTGGATTTTAGTAGCTTTTCAATTGTTAAGAGAATGAAGAGATCAGAAGAATATAAGATAGGGCAAGAGAAGCAGAAGGAGACAGGAGGACAAAGGGAGTGAAGGCCCCTGGGGAGAGATGGGATATGGAGGTACCTGTTGGGCCAAGATACACCCAGGGGTACCCTCACTCAGGTACACATGGTCTTTCTCTGTAGTCCTTCAGAAGAAGAGGAGCTCTCCACCCTCCCCTCCTTTCCCTCATCTGACCTGGCTTGAAATATTATGCAGTAATTTAAAGTACCTAGTTAGCTAAACACCTAGTTTTTTTCTTTTTAATTATTTTATTGAGGTCACATTGGTTTATAACATTGTGTAAATTTCAGATGTACATTATATTTCAGCTTCTGTATAGCATTGTTTTTACCACCAAAAGTCTAGTTTCCATCCATCACCATACATATGTGCCCCTTTACTCCTTTTGCCCTCCCCCCACCCATTCCCCTCTGATAACCACCAATCTGTTTTCCTTATCTATGTGTTTGTTTATCTTCCACATATGAGTGAAATCATATGGTCTTTGTCTTTCTCTATCTGACTTATTTCACTTAGCATAATACTCTCACGGTCCACCCATGTTGTCATAAATGGTGTGATTTTGTCTTTTTTATGGCTGAGTAGTATTCCGTGTGTATATGTATGTATATATATACTACATCTTTATCCATGCATCCATTGATGGGCACTTGGGTTGCTTCCACATCTTGGCTATAGTGAATAATGCTGCGATGAACATAGGGGTGCATAAACACCCAGTTTTGTAAATACCAGTAACCAATATGAACTACTATTTGTTTTAAATTTGAATTTCAGCAATGATTATACTTTTAGACTGTCAAAAGTAGTATATATAATATGATATAATAATATATCAATAAATAGTAGTGTCAATAAACTTGATGTTTTGTTTAAAATTAAAGCAAATTGAAATTAATTTTGTTTGAAAACTTTTTGCTTTTCTCTTTGAGGTATTACCACAGACCTTGAGATAAGCAGTTGTGTTCTGTAGGGTTGTTGCAAACTAGACTAGGGCTGGGCAACAGTATTTTCAAGAATAGATTTTGCCGGTGTATATACATGTCCAGAGTAAAACTCTTATTTTTTCTATTTAATATGTGTGGATTTTTCTCTACTAGGTTGTATTACTTTTTTATTTTCGATTACAAAAGTAATAGATGTTCATTGTAGAGAACTAGAAAAAAAAAAACAAAACAAATATTATCCCACAACTCATAGATGCCACTGTTAACATGTTGCTGTGTTTTCTCTCACTGAAAATTCTTTAAAAATAATTTTTAATAATTGCACAATATTCCAACCTATAGACATAGCTTATTTAACCATTCCCGTTGTTTGACACCTAGGTTGCTTCTAAGTTTTTACAGTTAGAAATAGTCTTTTTATGAATATCCTTAAATGTAAATTCAGGGTTGTTGGTTTTTACTTTAACCAAATTAATAGACTTTAGTGGTTTGACATGTTTTGAAACATGCCTTTTTAAAAATTTTTCATATATATAACGTCCTATCCCTTATAAGTCCTTTTTTTCCTTGTGCTAACCCTAACCATCCCATTTCTATAGGTGACCAACTAGTTCTAGATGTCTTCCCTCTCCAAGGACTTTTTTTACATGCGGTAAAATGTTTGTCTTGTATCTCATCCCTCCTCAAGGTCCATGAGCTCAGCTAGTTTATCTGAGGAACTAACTGATGCTGATGGAAGAGGCTCCAGGTCCTGCACACTCAATCACATCTCTCTGAAGATAGTGCTCCGGTCGGGCCTTTTTGGTCAAGTCATTAGGGATTCTGATGGCAGGGATTTCTAGCCAAGTAAGAAAGGAGGGGCTATGCTGTGAGATCCTGATTACACTCAGTTTTTCTTATGTGCTGCTCCAGGCTTCTCTGCAATATCTGAGAATATTCAGGCTTCCCTATTTATTTATGAATGGTTGAGACAGAAAACTTTAATCAAAGGAGATGTGATATGACATGATATATGATATGATATGATATATATAATATGATATGATATAAGTAGTAGTATATACTGTATAACTATTAAAAGGCAAGGTAAGGGGGCCGGCCCAGTGGCGCAAGTGGTTAGGTGCCTGCGCTCTGCTGTGGTGGCCCGGGGTTCGCCAGTTCGGATCCCAGGCGTGCACTGACATACTGCTTGTAAAGCCATGCTGTGGAAGCATCCCATATAAAGTAGAGGAAGATGGGCACGGATGTTAGCTCAGGGCCAATCTTCCTCAGCAAAAAGAGGAGGATTGGCGTCAGATGTTAGCTCAGTGCTGATCTTCCTCACAAAAAAAAAAAAAAAAAAGGCAAGGTAATCTTGGTCATACTTTCATTCTTTAATATAAGATTCTGTAGGACCTGGAGATAGACTATGATGTGGTGGAAATTCTATAGTATTGGACATGGGCAGACCCAGGTTTTGATTCTGTCGCTGCCTTTAGTTAGTGTGTAACCTTGGGCAATTTGCTACACTTTTCTGGTCTTCCACTTCCCTACCTGTAAAATGAAGGTAAAGGATCTTTGAAGTTCCTTCCTTCTCTAAGAATATTGATTCTGATACCAGAAATCATATCATTCATTCAGGGTTGTTATTAGGGCTTTGTTGGTATGGACATACTAACTTGTTTTTCTTACATTTTTTAAAGTTGTTTTGATATTTGAAAGTAGGGTGCTGAAATGTTTTTTATTAAATCCTTCTTAAACATATAAATAATGTTTTTGCCCTTTACAGTGGCAGCTGAATCCATCAGGAACTTGTGTTCTTGAACAAAATGAGCCTGAAAGCAGAGAGAGTAAGTATTTACAAGTCCTTTATTGAGGTTCACTTTGTTCCTAAGAAGAAAGAACACTTAGTGAATTTCAATGGTCAGGTGTTGAAAATTGTTGTGGTCGTAGATGGGGCATATTCTTTTTGCAAGTTAGATTTTTGCTATTCAATTCGTTCTCAAACATTTGTGTATCTACTGTATGCTAGGTGTGATAGAAAGTGCTGGTTAATAATTAGCCCTATAGAATCTGCAGTTTAATACAAATAATTATGTACAAATTGAATTTATAAAATAAATTTATAGGAAACAGTAAACAACAATTCTCTTCTATACCAAAGCAATGCTTCTTGAGCAGTTAGAAAGGAAAAATACATATAATTAATATAAATGGATCTATGGCCAGATTATAAGGATATATATTTATTATATATTCTTTTTAGAGTAAAGCCACATTTGCTCAGATTGGTCCGAGAAGGGAAATGTTCTGTTTATTTGAATAATCTAACTAAGAGTCATCACAGCTACCATAAATGAATTACTAATCTTCAAAGCTTTATTATTTGCATATTGACACAGATATTTTTAATGTAATGTAATCTTTGAGAGATCTTGCAATTCCTTAGGCGCATAATTTTGAACATTGTTATTGCTATACAATATGATTTTAAAATATTAGCTATGTTATCTTCCTGTTTGGATTCTAGGTAAATTGAATAAGTAAAGTTATCTTGGTAATAGCAATGATTTGATTACCCTGAAAAATCAGGAAATATAAAGATCTTTATGAGAATAATTTCTTTGCAAATATCTTTATTTTCTGTGTTCTGAATTAGCTTTATTTTATTCAAGTAGTAAATTTTTTATTTGCAATCTGGAAAAAAATACATATGCACTCCATCTTTCTTCTTAAAAATTTATCAGGAAAAAAGTGAAGGGGAAAAAGGAAAGAAAAATATATATGGATCTGATGAAAGAATATGTATTCAATAACACTGTTTGAGGGGGTCAATTAATAATTCTCTGTTGTCAGGGAAGGGACACAAAAAAGCACGCACCATAAAAAGATGGATTAATTTATCTATGTTAAAATTAAGAACATCTGTTCACCAAAAGACACCATTAACAGAGTTCAAAGGCAAGCCATGGAATAGGAGATATTTGCCACTTATAGTCAACAAACGGCTTGTATCCAGGATTTCTTGTTCTAGATCACTAAGGAAAAGGAAGAGATGCTGTGGTTAGAAGTCCTGAGATCGGAAGGAGGGGTCGCGATTGGGAGGGGACAAGAGGAAGGCTTCTGCTTTGCTGGCAGTGTTTTATTTATTGCCTTGGTTGAATGTATGCTTGCTTTGTGACTATTCATTGAACTACAAGTTTATGTTTTATATGTTTTTTTTTTTAATTTTTTAATTTATTTATTTTTTCCCCCAAAGCCCCAGTAGATAGTTGTATGTCATAGCTGCACATCCTTCTAGTTGCTGTATGTGGGACGCGGCCTCAGCACGGCTGGAGAAGCGGTGTGTTGGTGCGCGCCTGGGATCCAAACCCGGGCCGCCAGTAGCGGAGTGCACGCACTTAACCGCTAAGCCATGGGGCCGGCCCATATATGTATTTTTGAACAAGTGTTTTATATCAATAAATAATATCCCTATCTCATTTTCAATTTTGTAACAGCTTTATTGAGATATCATTTATATATCACAAATTTGCCCTTTTAAAGTGTAGAATTTACTTTAAAGTGTAGAATTTTAGCATATTCACAGAGTTGTGCAACCATCACTACGATCTAATTTCAGAACATTTCCATCATCTCAAAAAGAAATCTCTTACCCATTTGTAGTCCTCCTCATTCTCCTCTACCCCCAGCCCCAGGCAACCACTAATCGACTTTGTTTTTAGGGATTCATGTATTCTGGTCATTTCATATAAATGGAATCATATAGTATGTGATTCCTTTCCAATTTTGGATTCAGCTGAGAAACAGACACAGCAATCAAACAGATGAAAATTAAAACACCAACTTTATAGCTAGACTGGGGCTTAACCTCTGGCCAAATAGGGCTTTATAGTATTTGTCCTTCCTTACCTCTCCTAACCACCCCACTCCACCCTCAACCAAGTCTGGACCTTGAAAAGGATACTCAAGGGAGAGTCTGTCCAGCTCTGAGGGGACACAATATACAAACATCAGTTCCATATGAATTAAAGACTTAAGGGGAAAAGGTCATTTTTTTTTTTGCATTTTTTTATTAAGACTTTATTTTTTTTAGAGCAACTTTAGGTTCACAGAAAAATTGAGGGAAAGGTACAGAGAAGTCCCATATACCCCCTGCACATGCATAGCCTCCCCCATTATCAACATTCTTCACCAGAGAGGTACATTTGTCATAACTGATGAACCTACATTGACACATCATAATCACCCAAAGTCCATAGTTTATATTACTGTTCAGTTTTGATGTACGTTTTATGGGTTTGGAAAAATATATAATGACATATATCCATCATTATGGTATCATAGAGTATTTTCACTGCCCTATAAATCCTCTGTGCTCCACCTATTCATTTCTCCCCTCTCCCCAACCCCTGGCAACCGCTGATTTTTTTTTAACCATAGTTTTGCCTTTTCCAGAATGTCACATAGTTGGAATCATACAGTATATAGCCTTTTCAGATTCGCTATTTTCTCTTAGCAATATGCATTTAAGGTTCCTCCATGTCTTTCATGGCTTGATAGCTCATTTCTTTTTAGCACTGAATAAGATTTCATTGTCTGGATGCGCCACAGTTTGTTTATCCATTCACCTCCTCAAGGATGTCTCGGTTGCTTCCAAGTTGTAGCAATTATGAATGAAGCTGCTGTAAACATCTGTGTACAGATTTTTGTGTGGACATAAGTTTTCAACTCCTTTGGGTAAATGCCAAAGAGTGTGATTGCTGTATCATATGATGAGTATATTTAGTTTTGTAAGAAACCACCAAACTGTCTTCCACAGTGAGTGTGCCATTTTGCATTCCCACTAGCGATGAATGAGAGTTCCTGTCGCTCTACATCCTCATTGGCATTTGGTATTGTCAGTGTTCTGGATTTTGGCCGTTCTAATAAATATATAGTGGTATCTTATTGTTGTTTTAATTTGCCTTTCCCTGATGACATATAATGTGGAGCATTCTTTCATATGCTTATTTGCCATCTGTATATCTTCTTTGGTGAGGTGTCTGTTAAGGTCTTTGGCCTATTTTTTAATCAGGTTGTTTGTTTTCTTACTGTTGAGTTTTAAGAGTTCTTTGTATATTTTGGATAACAGTCCTTTATCACATGTGTCTTTTGCAAATATTTTCTCCCAGTCTGTGGCTTGTCTTATCCTTCTCTTGACTTTGTCTTTCACAGAGCAGAAGTTTTAATTTTAATGAAGTCCAGTTTATCAATTCTTTCTTTCATAGATTGTGTCTTTGGTATTGTATCTAAGAAGTCATCGCCATACCCAAGGTCATCTAGGTTTTCTCTTATGTTATCTTCTAGGAGTTTTATAGTTTTGCATTTTACATTTAAGTCTGTAATCCATTTTGAGTTAATTTTTGTAAGAAGTGTAAGGTCCGTGTTTAGATTCATTTTTTTGCATGCGAATGTCCAGCTGTTCCAGCACCATTTGTTGAAAAGACTCTCTGCTTCATTTTGTTGCTTTTGCTACTTTATCAAAAATCAGTTGATTCTAGTCCACTGATCTCTGTTCTTTTGCCAGCACTACACTGTCTTCATTACTGTAGCTTTATAGTAAGTCTTGAAGTCGGATAGTGTCAGTCCTCCAACTTTATTCTTCTGCTTCAATATTGTGTTGGCTATTCTGGGTCTTTTGCCTCTTCATATAAACTTTAGAATACTTTTGTTGATATCTACAAAAAACTTGCTGGGGTTTTGATTGGGATTGCACTGAATCTATAGATTAAGTTGGGAAGAACTGATATCTTGACGATATTGAGTCTGTCTAGCCATGAACATGGAATGTCTCTGCATTTATTTATTTCTTCTTTGACTTTGTTCATCAGAGTTTTCCTCAAAAAGATCATGTACATATTTAGTTAGATTTATTCCTAAGTATTTCATTTTTTTGGATGCTAATGTAAATTGTATTGTGTTTTTAATTTCAAATTCCACTTGTTCAAAGCTGGTATATAGGAAAGAGATTGACTTTTGTATGTTAACCTTGTATCAAGCAACCTGGATGTAATCACTTATTAGTTCCAGGAGATTTTTTGTTTTTTTTTAATTGATGTCATAATAGTTTATAACATTGTGAAATTTCAGTTGTACATTATTATTTGTCAGTCACTATAGAAATGCGACCCTTCACCCCTTGTGCCCACCCCCCAACCGCCTTCCTCCTGGTAACCACCAAACTGTTCTCTCTGACCGTGTGTTAGTTTATCTTCCACATAAAAGTGAAATCGTGTGGTGTTTGTCTTTCTCCATCTGGCTTATTTCGCTTAACATAATACCCTCCAGGTAGGTCCATCCATGTTGTTGCAAATGGGATGATTTTGTCTTTTTTATGGCTGAGTAGTATTCTGTTGTATGCATATACCACATCTTCTTTATCCAATCATCGATCAATAGACACTTGGGTTGCTTCCACTTCTTGGCTATAGTGAATAATGCTGCAATGAACATAGGAGTGCATAAGCCTCTTTGGATTGTTGATTTCAAGTTCTTTGGATAAATACCCAGTAGTGGGATACCTGGATCATAAGGTATTTCTATTTTTAATTTTTTGAGGAATCTCCCTACTGTTTTCCATAGAGGCTGTGCCAGTTTGCATTCCTACCAGCAGTGAATGAGCATTCCCTTTTCTCCACAACCTCTCCAACATTTGTTATTTTTTATCTTAGTGATTATAGCCATTCTCACAGGTGTAAAGTGATATCTTAGTGTAGTTTTGATTTGCATTCCCTGGTGATTAGTGATGTTGAATATCTTTTCACGTGCCTATTGGCCATCTGTATATCTTCCTTGGAAAAATGTCTGT